TAATAATTATGAAGAAATTAATGTAATATAAGGACAGATATTGTAAGTACTGCTTATTGTACTATATAAGAATCTTTTGGAAACTGTTAACTCAAGGGATAGCTCAGGATGAAAACTTAAAACCAATTTTGAAAAGCAAAGAGCTTTATGTCTGAATCAATTAATTCATGCTGTATATCAACTTTCAGGTGGTAATCACACCTTCTCATCAACCTGTGCCATATTTTTAGAAGGATGCAAAGGGTGAAGCCTGGACCCCACAAAAGGTGCTGGTTTTTATACTACGAGTTTAAGGCATGGGAACTGATTTTGCCAAATTGCCAATCATCTTTTATTCTACTTTTCTTTTTGCTTATTATGTTCATTGGGAACACTCCATAACCCCTCCATTTTGGCTTCAGTTTGGTCAAAGGAATTTTATGTTCTCTTACCATCCAGGACCACTTCAAGTATTTGTTGAATGGGTTGAACAACAGCTTCATGCAATGGAAACCATCCTTTTTCATCAGCTTCATCCAATGCATATTTATATTTCACATACTCCTGGAGCTCAAGAATGTGACCTAAATTAAACATACAGGCTGATAGCAAATCTCTGTCTTGGCCAGGTGGAACCTCCAGCCCCTCCCACTGTAAGTGATGCACCCATTTACCTTGCTTTATGGCCTCCACAAGCTTTCTGTTTTGATCGCTCAAGGGTACAAATCTACCAGAGAAAGAAAAATAAGTCATGTTTGAATTCATGGTATATTTCAAGGAACCAAAATGGTTATTTAGTCTTTGCACACGCTTTTAATAGTCAAGATGTACAAGAAATGCACACAACTTTTATCTACTTTAAAAATGTAAAAGTCTAAAAGTCAGACACAGAATATATATATGATACACTGGACTTAAGAGCATTAGTGATGATGAAAAACAGAAGATTGTAACACTCTCTGAGATAAGCTGTAGACAATGAAAAAAGGGTAAATAATTGGAGTCAGGGTCAGAAGAACTGGGTTCAGGTTTTCTGATTTTTACGATCTTGGGGAGGCCAGTAGCCTTCCTGGGTGGTGGTTTCTGCATCAGTGAAATGAGGAGATTAAATAGGAAGAGATCTGAGGCTTCTCCCAACTTTAAAAACTCTATACTCAATAAAGGTTTATTGCTTTGAACTTAATTGCTAATTAATGATTTCTTACTTGGGAGCGTATGAGCTGCACTGCATGTTAGAGTCTTTAATCAACTGATCTACAAGTGAAAATGGGCTAAGCATTTACTGAACAAACTCCCAGTCACTGGCCCAGCAGGTCATGATTTTAACACCCACGGCAATTCTCCCGAGTGTGTGTTTATTCAAAGGCAACAACATCAGTGTGTGTTTCATAACACACTGATTTAACTCTGTTAAGCAGAAACATCCGCTGGTAGCCTAGGTTTGTGAATGCCTTCCTGGGAACTCTAAGGTTCTGAAATCCGTTGGAGACAAGGGAAAAATTAAAGAGACCAGAAATTTAAATGTAATATGTCTATTTTTCAAAAGCTCAAAAGTAATAATTTTATAGCATGGAAGCCATTCAGAAGCACCACTAAACTTCATGATACAGGATTCCAAATACTATAATAGAATGTGAAAGTAAACTACTTTTTGTCAGAAGTGTAATGTGTGCTCTTCAAGACAGAAATTTACTTTTGCAGTTTTAGACTCTATAACTTTTGCTAATATAAAACACTAATTTTATTTATCATTTGTGAACTTCTGTCATTTGAATAGTAGATAATTAAATAGGCTTTGGTTTATATATTACTTTGTCATAAGTAATGAAAAGCTCTCAACTCTTTTCCTGTTCATTAAACTTATGGGCAAGATGGGTTAGCATTAATCTTTGTATTTTAAAGGTGCAAAAATGGAATACATTATAAAGGCTGCCTGAGTCAGTAGCAGAATGGGCTCCAGAATATACAGTACAGATTCTGTATACTCATCTATACGTTGGCAGCTTAAATAGTGCTTGCACATTCGTTCACATTGTTTATTGTCCATTTTGATTCCATATGAATTTAGAAAATAAGCAATCCTGTACAACCAAATTCAACTGGGAATTTCCCCACTAGGTTATTTCCATTGCTCCCATTTCCACCCACAGAAGATGGGGATTTATGGATGATCAGAGGGCTAACCCTGTGCACAGTGGCTCTCGTAAAGCTTTTCGATTTCTTGCCAAAAGAGAAAGATAAGCATTTTCTCAGAGATGGAAATGTCATTCATTTTTTATCTTATAACAAAATGAATGCCATAAAGAAGTTTCCTGGAGGACAGTCAATTTGAATGTTACCTTTCAGGATAAAATACAGTCTTGCTGGCCTCAATGGATTCTTGAATACTGAGCTGAATATCATAACTTGCAAGGTGATCTTCCTCAGGGTCATCATTAGTCTCCATGACTGAACATAATTTGGAAAGAGGCGATTTCTTATTATCAGCAAATGGCACAGAACAACATGCAGACTTAACATGAGAGACGCAAAATGAAAAAAAATGCATTTACTTTTTCCTCAATTAACAGACACAAATGTACTGAACATTTTAATCCATATCATATCTGAAGCCCATCCTAACTTTTGAAACCTTTAATTACCTGCCCTTTGGGTGTCTGCATTTTCTAATTTTTTTTGACCTTCTTTTGAATGATGACTAGAGTTGGGCTTATAAGAATTCACTTTTTCCACACTTCTGATTTACACTAATTTGGCCCATCATGTTTCTCAAGACATTGCTCTACATAGCAAATTGAAGTTTAAAGCTCTGAGAAGAGAGACTGTGTCAGGAATAGGGTACAGTAAGCCTTTCACATTCTTTGCTTTTATTCTCTGTCTGCTGTGTGTGCTTAATTGCTGATTTATTCCTTTCTTCACACCAGAAATGACTGGAGTTGGCTGCCTTGAATGGCATTTATTTCTGTATTTCGGTTCAACTTCTTCCACCAGACTCTACCCTCTTTGAGGTGAAGGGCTCTGCCTCACTTACCTCTGCATTGCCTACAAGTCTAGAAGGTGCTTGGCACGGGGAAGCTTCCCAGTGAACATTTGTTAAATTAAAATAGAGAGAACAGAACGTCACAAACGTAGTGGCCCAGCCTTACCAGGAAATTTGATAGCACAAATAAAGACACGAAGGAAACTTTAAATAGAAGGAACTGGGAACTTTAAGCACTGTTCTTCCTCAGAAAATACTGTCTAGTCTCACAAGGAAGTGACCAGGTTTCAAAATTCCAGAACTTTAAAGTAAAACAGGATAGGGTTAATCTGACAAAAACAGCCTTAGGCGCTTGGAGAACCCCTTACTGGCTAGCTCAGATGGGTTTGATAGACCATGTGGCGCTCTGCGTGCTCTGGGAAATCCACCTTTACGGACTTGTGCTTGTGGCCATGGAAAGATCCTTTGTGACACTTTGGCAGAAAGGCATCCTTAATACATCATTAATACATGTCAAAGGTGCTGGAACTGCTAATAAAGGGAGCAGCATGGTAAGGACCAGTTTTATCAAATGAGGCTTAACTGTGGGAACTGGCAAACCATAAACAGAGTAAAAATGAACTGCTTTTGAAGAAAAGAGTCAAAAGCAGAGAGGCTTTTGGACTGGTTTAGGTAATTTATGGATGGCTGTTTCAATTCTCCCTAATCCACTGACTTGTTTCAACTAAATCAGAGCCCCTATGACTGGTTGTGCAGGATGTGCAGTGCACAAGTGTTCCTGACTGAGGAAATCCAGCCAAATCTCCCCTAAAGAGCTGTGCCACCAAGCAGGGTGCTATGCATGCCCCAAGGAAGCAGCATCTTTTCTTCATTTGCCCCAAAGTGCCCATGGGATGCCTGAACAGAGCTGAGCATTTTTTAACACCAGAAAGTTAAACAAAAAGAAGCCTAATTATTTAGCATTGTTGGATAATAAATGAGGAGAGATAGACATGACATATTTTACCATCTAGTCTCCCAATCTTTCCCCAAAGTGGAAGGGCTTCAGGATTTGGTTACTCTCCTTCAGAAAGGATAGGGCTACCATGCCTGTGATGTCCATGGTGCCTCTTGAACTTTCATGTAGCTACTGTTTGGTCTCCACTTTTTAATTTGTTTGTTTATTTTTGGCTTGTCTTACAGGAAAAGTTGTAAGGTCTGACTGGTCTCAGCATCCTTTGAACAGTTAAGATTAGGGCCATCATAACTCCATGCCCAGACCAGAGACCAGGCCTCGCATAGAGTCTCCATTTCTCCCCCTGCACAGCTCTCTTCACTACGAGACACTGCTACTGACCGGCCTATCTCTTCTGAAGG